AATCCCCACGTCCCCAAATCCCCACGTCCCCATATCCCCACGTCCCCAAATCCCCACATCCCCAAATCCCCACGTCCCAAAATCCCCACGTCCCTAAATCCCCACGTCCCCAATCTCCACGTCCCCAATTCCCCACGTCCCAAATTCCTACATCCCAAATCCCCAGTTCGCCAAATCCTCAGGTCTCCAAAGATAAATCCCGCGATAAAAGCGTCCATAAAAATTTGTTTTCATCCACCTCTATTTGTTCCATTTGTTTATTAAACGCACTCCGCGGAAGATATTTAATCGTTAAAAATACGTTCGTCATAAATATTAATAGACGCGTATATAAAATACGGGTCGATTGAGTGGTTTAATTTTTCGAAAGGCTATATATCGTTGCGTGTTCTAAGTAGGTCCTCCGATCGGCCATTAAAGCTTCTCCGCGCATGAAATATTAATTTCTTGCTTTCACGCCCCGTTCAAATTACTGTTTCGCTCCTGTTGATTGCCGCACGCGTTGCATATTAATCTCGGTGTATTTTTTCTCTTTTTTCGAAACGCGTGCATTCAATTATTTTTGCAAGTCACTGTTCATTCGGCCTAATGGAAAATCGATACAGGCGTTGCGTAGCCACCCCCTGTGTCCCTCCCCCACGTGTATAAAAATCAATCATCCATTTTTGTAGCAGAGACACGGCGTAATGAAAAATGATAGCATCTCCGATGGCTCTTCTCTATGTTTCTTGACTTTGTAATTTCTTTATCAATCTTCGCCCCGCGAGATCTCGCGTGATTATTTTCTTCCGTGCACTCGTCCATTTTCATATTACATTCGTTGCGTTGCGGACTGACGTTCAACTTATTCTTTCGGTGAAATATTGCGGTTGCGCGGATAATGGAGAACATCTCGAGTGCGCGTTCGTGCTTTCTTCATTTTTTGATCAGCGAGCTTTTTATTTTTTTATGCGAGCAACCAATTGCTGTCAGATGCTGTGACTTGTTTCGGTGGTACACGAAGTTTGATTTGTTTAGTAACTTTTAATGAATGAATGAATTTTTTGGGAATTATGTCCTCTGGGGAGTGATGCTGAAATTTTAGCAAAATTTTTATTTGGATTTGAAGTTTGGGAGTTGGGAAATTTGGGAGATATTTGGGAGTTAAGAAATTTAGAGAATTTGAAGAATTCAGAAAATTGGGAAATTAGGAGTTGAGAAATTAGGAATTGGGAAATTAGGAAATTTGGAAATTAGGGAATTTGGAACCTAGGAAATTTGGAAATTAGAGAATTTGGAATTTAGGGAATTTAGAAATTAGGGAATATTGAATCCAGGAAAATTTGAATCTAGAAAATAGTGAGTCTAGGGAATTTTTGAATCTGAGAAATTTGCAATCCAGAAAATGGTGAACTCAATATAAGAACAATAAATTCTCTACCTTTTTACCTTGCATATCAAGAAATCCAAGCCCCAATCGCGGTATAACCAGATCGGCCTGTACAAGGGTAGCAATAAAAATGGACGTCGTGTAGCAAGAGGTTTAAATTATAATGACAGGTTATACCGATAAAAAGTGTAGCAAAAACAGGCGTCGTCGATGATTCTTGGGCAAAGGTGGTTGCGGCACGTAAAACACGTAATATTTCTCGCGAGGAAATACGACGTGACCTGGCGCACGATCTCGCTGGTATATCAATATCAGTGTAATGGACGTCGTTTGCATAAATGATTTTTCTGGGTCGCTAATGTCGAAGAACCAACGGCGTGCTTCTCCCACGAAGAACCGCGAGAAACGCGGGAAAAAAAAGAACGAAGAAAAGCCAGAAGGCAGAAGGTGGATAACTCGTCGAAAACAAGCGACACGAGTGGTTTTCGCGCTATAAGAAGCGTACGGAGCGTGCGAGATCGAGCTTCGGTGGGCGGGAATGGCGGATTTATAGCACTCGTGCACGACATCTGGTTAAAACAACGCTGATGCCCTAGGCTGCTTGCTGAACGCCATCCATTACCGCCAAAATGCGTTCCTAACGTTAAAACGACGGATATCGAATTATAATTACCAGGTTCATTGATTATTCCTAGTCGTACAAATGTGTATAGATTAATAATTCGATATATATTCATAGTTGAGATGGTCAAAGTCTGTTTAGAGGATGTCCAAATCTTATTGGTAGTTTAGAGTGAGTTCATAAGAAAATGTCCAATAAATCAAAGAGGAACATAGAGACAATTTTTTAATTTCTCAAAATGAATACCTTAGTATTTACATTTGTGGACCTTCAAATTTTGAACCTCTTAATATGATACCTAATCTAAATGACTGTGTACTTGTACATTATTTAAGAAATTAGTAAAATTCATTTGAAGTTTCTGCGTCAGTACATCTTAAAATGTAATCTAACCTAAAAGAATCAATATCTTCAATACATTACTCAAAGAATCGATACTTATAACTTTTATAGTCAGTACCTAAAATGGCGTCCTAACCTAAATTCTAGTACTTCCCAGTGCATTATTTAAAAAATCAATAAAAGCAATTCGAATATTATTTTGTGTGATATTGTGAATGTTTAAAATCAGTCAAATATTCGTTCGTAATATGTGTTTAAAAAATAAATAAAATATTTATCTACGAAACCCAACATGAACTATTGAAGAAGATGACCTAACCTGATACGATCCGTCACGAATTTTTCCTTCCTAAAAATTTGTCCTATCAAAAGAAATATACCTTGAACAGTAAGTATTAAATCCTTGAAATAATAATTAATAAAAATATGAACGAGCATCAATCAGGTCACGGGCGCGATTAGCAGCTAAATAGCAAGCGTTCGTGGTAAGAAAATTAATAACGAAACAGCAGGAACAACGTCGTGGTCACTGTGTTGTGCTCAAAATCGCCTAACTACTTTCAATATTTCACGGTACCATACGTCCGTGGTTGGTGAACCGTGTCACGCGATGCGGTCGAGCGAGTTTTGGACAAACTTGACGCGAGAACGAAACCTCGAACAACCGTTTCGATCGCTGAAAGAATACGTGCCTTGTTCGATTTGCATACGAGGCAACCGGAAGAGAATTGTTCGATACATGAATCATGTATTGGACCATTCGTTTGAAACTTAAGAAGCAATATATTATACGTTGTTGAAAATCTTGACGTTCGTACTTCGAATAATTTATCTTCTTCCTTTAAATTGTGAAATTATTTCAAATTATTCAGAGACCACAAACAAGAGTGCGAATTTATATAAAATTATAAAGCGGATAAGGAAAATATTGGGTTAGCTTTTTATGTATGAATTAACACGTTCATTTTTGGCGGACTGCGGCCATTTTGTTTAGCTTTCATTCTGACTTCTAATTGAATTTCAGCGTAATACAAAATGCAATTATAAGACAGGTATTTGGTTTAATAGGACTTTGATTAAATACATTATTACCAAACAATGCAATAATTTGAACGTATCAAAAGTTTGTTAATATAATTAAATATACTGACAGTTTCAAAATAAGTTGCACGAAACTTTCTGTATTAATACATCCATCATTTACAATTGAAAGTACAATTAATTTTGTCGAATAATCTTTTACAATCAACATACCAAAATTGAATACACTAAACTCGAAAATTTAATAACACATATAATAACTACTATAAAATTATTAAGTTAAACTTCTAAATTAAAAATTAATAGTAATCGTGGACGGTTTCCCAGCTTCCGCGAAACACGCACTTAAGCACATACGTTAACACGAGGTTTCGTATACAGTGTCGTTAACGCGACATCGGCCTGTAATCCGGAAATCCGCTAATCTAATCCGCGCCAGCAACCCTCCACCAGTTGCCACACAAATTATTACGAAGTTTCATCGAGTGTCGTTAGAGCAATTTCCACGGAAGTTACCCTCAAAGGCGAAGAGTGCACTCGTAACAAGTTTCGAAATCAATCCGTCTCCCTGCGATCCTCTCCTCTTCTGGCTGGGTCATTTTCAAAAGCCACTTTTACCCTCGCCGGATAACGAGACCTCGACTACACGACTACTTCTGGCTTCTTGTCACGATCTTCTTCAACAATTCGAATTAACTTTTGCTTACGAGGCGAACTCTTAGCGCGGAGCGATCACGTGTGAGAGTTGACAATTTCGGAGCTGAGGAATTTTTAGATTTTGAGGCGCTGCAATTTTAGGGTTGATGGAATTTTAGAGATGGAGGAGGGATTTTGAGGAATTTGGGATTTGAGGAGTTTGGGGTTTGAGGAGTTTGGGATTTGAGGAGTTTGGGACTTGAGGAGGTTAGGATTTAACAAGTTTGGGGTTTGAGGAATTTTGGGATTTGAAGATTTTGGGGTTTGAGGAGTTTAGGATTTGAGGGGTTTGGGACTTGAGGAGTTCGGGATTTGAGGTATTTGGATCTTGAGGAGTTTGGGACTTGAGGAGGTTAGGATTTAACAAGTTTGGGGTTTGAGGAATTTTGGGATTTGAAGATTTTGGAGTATGAGGAGTTTAGGATTTGAGGAGTTTGGAATTTGAGGAGGTTAGGAATTGCAGAGTTTGGACCTTGAGGAGTTTGGAACTTGGGGAGGTTAGAACTTGCGAGTTTGGACCTTGAGAAGTTTGGAATTTGAGGAGGTTAGGACTTGCAGAGTTTGGAATTTGAGGAGGTAAGAACCTGCAGAGTTTGGACCTTGAGGGGTTTGGAATTTGGGGAGGTTAGAGCTTGTAGAGTTTGGACCTTGAGGAGTTTGGAATTTGAGGAGGTTAGGACTTGCAGAGTTTGGACCTTGAGAAGTTTGGTATTTGACCATGTGGTGATTTGAAGATTTTAGACTCTAAAGAGTTTGATCTAAACACTCCCACAAAACGTCCCCATAACCCTAAAAATTCGCACCACTCTTCATCCTCCAAGCTCCCTAAAAACACTCTAAAACATCCCAAACTATACCTAAACCACAAACATCTAAACCCAAAATTGCAGCAACAAAACTCCCCAGTACAATAATAAAGAAAATGACCCGTTCCTCGCAATGAAAAGAAAGAGCTCTCTCAAAGAAACAATTCTTGGTGATCCTTTTCGCAACCCAGCGAAGAAACCAATAAACGCGCAAAGTTGTGTGAGCTGTTAAAGTTCGTTTTAAAAGTGACAATGATCGTCAAGCGAGGTATGTGTGTGTTTCAGGTGGTGTCGTGAGTTATACTATACCGGATTCACCGACACCAGAGCTGAGCGACATCTCGTACGACGGTAAAAGGGAAGACAACTTGTTGACCGATGGTTTGGGCCGATTGATCGATGGCGAGGTCGGTGCGGATAATTACAGACTAGACATGGGAGATGGAAGAGGTAATCGGTGGGTGGATGAACGGTAGGGTGCTAAGTGCCGAAACGAGACGTGTCTGCAAGACAACTCTGAAGGAACTGGTCTTTTATTGGGGGAGTCCTTTAAATATGGGCTACCACTTTTATTTAAGGATGTATTCCTTCTTACATTATTTTAAAATCCTCTGATAATGATACAAAGTAGTAGAGAAATAATAAAAAAGAATATACGACATGTCTATGATGTGGAGTGTACATGATATGTCTATGACACAATGTGTACATGATATGTCTATGACGGGGAGTCCTTTAAATATGGGCTACCACTTTTATTTAAGGATGTATTCCTTCTTACATTATTTTAAAATCCTCTGATAATGATACAAAGTAGTAGAGAAATAATAAAAAAGAATATACGACATGTCTATGATGTGGAGTGTACATGATATGTCTATGACACAAGGTGTACATAATATGTCTATGACACAAAGTGTACATGATATGTATATGATACAGAGTGTACATGATATGTCTATGACATGAAGTGTACATGATATGTATATAATACAGAATGTACATGATATGTCTATGACACAAGGTGTACATAATATGTCTATGACACAGAGTGTACATGATATGTCTATGATACAGAGTGTATACCACATGTCTATGATACAGAATGTACATGATATGTCTATGACACGAAGTGTACATGGTATGTATATGATACAGAGTCTACATAATATGTTTATGACACAAGGTGTGCATGATATGTCTATGATACAGAGTGTATAAGTCATGCCTATGATACAGAGTGTACATGATATGTCTATGACACGAAGTGTACATGATATGTATATAATACAGAGTGTACATGATATGTCTATGATACAAGGTGTACATAATATGTCTATGACACAAAGTGTACATGATATGTCTATGATACAGAGTGTATACGATGTCTATGACACAGAGTGTACACGATACGTCTCCGACATAAAGAACCAGAAGAAAGAAAATAAACTGAAGTCATGTAACGTGCAAATTAAATAAAATAACTCATGCAATGCCCTCAACTAAAATGTACCAAGACATGCAACGTACGACTTAACTGAAATAACCAAACACGCAAATAACATTCACACACAAATTAATCAAAATTAAGCAATACCATTTGTACCCAAATAAAATTTTTGAGTAGAGTGCAATCCTTTATACTAATATTTCCTATTGAATTCCCATTCTTGAATTTGTAATAATATTAGGCATCGTAAGTCGCCAGAAATAAATTGCACAGTTGTTTTACCAATAGCTCTTGAACAGTAATATTCGATTCAATATCGAGGTCCCGTTATCGGTACTTAGCACCCGCAAACAGAGCGAGAGGTAGATTGCTCGAAGCTCCACAAAACAGAGAGTATCTATATCAGAAGTGGTTCTTGTGCCCCGAGAAGTTGCCCCGAATCAATTCAATTAACAAGAGAAACAATGGATCAATCGTTGCTCAAACTTTAACTTCGATCCGCGCTAACGAAGTTCTCTGCGAGACCAACGCGAAATGGATGCCATTTTGTTCCGTCGTTTTTCCAGGCACCGGTTGGATCGCGTGGATGCGGGACACCTTCGAGGACGATTACGTGGAGCTCGTGTTCGAATTCGAAGTGACCTGGATCTTCGAGGCGGTGCACATTTATACCAACAATTATTTCTCGAGAGATGTGCAGGTAACCTTTTTTTATTGCTTTTTATACTCGCGACTTATAAAGTTCGCAGATAAAACTTTTAATGAGCCCAATTCGTGGACCTCGTATTTTCCGACGGGTTATCGGACCCTGATCGTATCTCTTGAATATTCATACTGATGTTTTTGTTGAGAAATGTTTAATATAATCGTTGTTAATTGCTTTAGTGAACAATGCTTTCTGTCGGTCTTTTTTTAAGAGGAACTTATATGAACGTGTTTAAAAATTAATCTGATTATCATTGCTCTTTGTGTATAATTTCAATAGGAATTATTAAAATGCATTGTTCAGGTGATAAATCAAAGGAGCAGATATTTTTTAACGTTTTAATTAAAAGGGATCAGTAGGATGTCTACGGTGTGATCAACAAAATAAATAAAATATTTTACAACTTAACTAAAAGAACTAATATTCTTTGTATGGCTTTCTTTCAATTTTTATAATTTATTCAGAGTGTCATATATACAGTGTAACACTATATGTATTATGTTAACTTACGTTACTTAACCTAACATTTTTTTCAAATGTGAACTACACAAATTTAATTATGTTTAAATAATACATATTGTAAATTAAATTTGAAAGAACATTAACATAACCTATATTACCTAACCTAACATTTCTTTCGACTCTGAACTACACAAATTTGATTACGTTTAAATAATACATATTGTAAATTAAATTTGAAAGAACATCAACATAACCTATATTACCTAACCTAACATTTCTTTCAACTCTGAACTACACAAATTTAATTATGTTTAAATAATACATATTGTAAATTAAATTTGAAAGAACATTAACATAACCTATATTACCTAACCTAAAATTTTATTCAACTACATACTGCACAAATTAGGTTATGATTCAAAACACCTACAGTAAATTAAATTTGAAAGAATATCAACTAAAAATAAATACAGACATGTAACCTTGAAATAAATAAATAAAGACGTATCTCTGAATGTGTCAGAAAAAGGCATTATAAAAGAAAAGTATTGTAATGATTGTAAAGAGATTTGAACACTATTGGATATTTATTTGAGGTTGAAATGTCACCGCAATAGGCCGGATGGATCGGTTGCTTCTCCATTCATTGGAATGAAAGGCCAAGCCATTAAAAGTGAGTCGATCTTAAGTACCGGTTATTGCTTACACGGTGAGTTAAACGAGCAGGGTCCATCAGCTATCGTCCATTAAAGCGAGAGTTTCTTTTCTTCTCCATTTGGTTTGACATGCGAAACACGTGACACGTGATAACGCATTGTTATGTAATTACGTGGGAATCAATGTAAACGATACACGTTCTTAATCGTGTAATATATTTAAGTGGTCGTGAAATGGAAATTGCGCAGGCGATTACTACAGGAATGTCGTGTATTCGTGTTATCGTACGTGGAAGATGCGATTAAATCGATCCGATTACCGATGATACATTGTACGTTCGAATTATAGTTAATTGTAATTAACTCGATATCAAATTCGGTGATTGTTGTCGTTTGAAACGTGCAACATTCTCCCGCGAGAGTTATTGCGATAACTGATGAATGATGGGGATTCAAATTCTTTAATTGTATAATTTTTACTTGTCAAGCTTCCAAAATCCACGGTTTCTGAATTTCTAAATAACCGAGTTTTCAAATTTCCAATTTTTTAAGCTTGCAAATTCTCAAATTTCCCAATTCTCACATTCCCTAATTCCCACGTGCCCCAATTCCCACACTCCCTAATTTCCAAGTCCCCAATTCCAACATTCCCCAATTCCACATTCCCCAATTCCCACATGCCCCAATTCCACAATTCCCCAATTCCTACATGCCCCAATTCCCACTTTACCCAATTCCCACATGCCCCAATTCCCACTTTACCCAATTCCCACATGCCCCAATTCCCACTTTACCCAATTCCCACATGCCCCAATTCCCACTTTACCCAATTCCCACATGCCCCAATTCCCACTTTACCCAATTCCCACATGCCCCAATTCCCACTTTACCCAATTCCCACATGCCCCAATTCCCACTTTACCCAATTCCCACATGCCCCAATTCCCACTTTACCCAATTCCCACATGCCCCAATTCCCACTTTACCCAATTCCCACATGCCCCAATTCCCACTTTACCCAATTCCCACATGCCCCAATTCCCACTTTACCCAATTCCCACATGCCCCAATTCCCACTTTACCCAATTCCCACATGCCCCAATTCCCACTTTACCCAATTCCCACATGCCCCAATTCCCACTTTACCCAATTCCCACATGCCCCAATTCCCACTTTACCCAATTCCCACATGCCCCAATTCCCACTTTACCCAATTCCCACATGCCCCAATTCCCACTTTACCCAATTCCCACATGCCCCAATTCCCACTTTACCCAATTCCCACATGCCCCAATTCCCACTTTACCCAATTCCCACATGCCCCAATTCCCACTTTACCCAATTCCCACATGCCCCAATTCCCACTTTACCCAATTCCCACATGCCCCAATTCCCACTTTACCCAATTCCCACATGCCCCAATTCCCACTTTACCCAATTCCCACATGCCCCAATTCCCACTTTACCCAATTCCCACATGCCCCAATTCCCACTTTACCCAATTCCCACATGCCCCAATTCCCACTTTACCCAATTCCCACATGCCCCAATTCCCACTTTACCCAATTCCCACATGCCCCAATTCCCACTTTACCCAATTCCCACATGCCCCAATTCCCACTTTACCCAATTCCCACATGCCCCAATTCCCACTTTACCCAATTCCCACATGCCCCAATTCCCACTTTTCCCCAATTCCACAATCCCCAATTCCCACATTCCCCAATTCCCACATGCCCCAATTCCCAAAGCCCCCAATTCTCTAATTCCCCAACTCCCAAATACCCCAATCTCCAAATTCCCCAATTCCCTATTTCCCCAAATTCCAAATGCCCCAAATCCCAAATTCCTAATTTCCAGAATATAAATTTAAATTTGGGAGTTGTGGAATCCAGGAATCTAGGGAATCTAGGGATCTAGGTATCTAGGGATCCAATAACCTAGAAATCTAGTAATCTAGAAATTTTTGAATCTAAATATCTAAACATCTAGAAATCTCATAACCTAAAAATCTAATAATTTAAGGATTTATGAATTTACATATCTAGACACCTACGGATCTAATAACCTAGAAATCTAATAATCCAAAATTTATCTAGACATCCAGATATCTAGGTTATATCAAATTTGTACATGACCCATATCATAGTAAATCCATGAAAGATGTCGGACACGTTTTCAGTTTACTAACCTAATTTCATCCCAACTCTCCTTTGTTTCAGGTATTCTCTAAAGCAGACGTTTGGTTCAGTCTGGACGGTGAAACTTATGAAGAAGACCCATTGTCTTATTCTTACATCCCAGACATCGTACTAGAAAATGCAAGGAACGTCTCCATAGGTTTACACGAACGTCGTGGAAGGTTTCTGAAAATACATTTGTATTTCGCCGCCCGATGGATCATAATTGGCGAGGTGACTTTCGATGGAAGTACGTCTCGTTTTTCTTTTAAATAATATTTAAGAACATTAAACCAATCATCTTAGACCAACAACGTTAATGTCATGACTTCATAAAAAGGAAAAATATTTATTTTCTTCTGGCAAACATAAATTCTTCAAATGAATTTTTCTATCATTCGTTGAATTGTTTTCTTGCTAAAAATTACCTGCATTTCTGCACCTTGGAAATAAATCAATAAAATGACGAATTTAAAAAATTGTTAGAGTTGCATAAATTAAAAAAATTTTAAAGTTGTATAAATTTAAAAATTTACAGTGTTCCATATTATGAAAAAGTCCAATAACATTTGATGAATACAAATAATTGTAAAAGTGCAGTACTCAAAATGCAGTTTAATTGTATGTATTATTTTTAATGATAAGCAGAAAGTTAAAAATTGCGATGATGTCACGAATCATTCCGCATAATATCTGACGAGCGCAGATTATTTAACGAAACACGTAGACGAATCGAATATTCGGTATTTCCCGACCCGGGCGAAATTTATTTTCCCAACAATTTCCTGCTACGGAGTGTCTGGTACAAACCGAAAACTCGTAATCGTTCACGGTTGTACACGAATTTCCAAGGGAACCGTAGAAAATACTTTGTTGTCGTACAGATTAAAAGATTTACAACGGTTTAATTAGCAAGACACGTTTCCTGATTCCAGCGAATCCCTACGAAAATACCACGGAGGAGTCGGCGTCCGAGTTCAGCAACGGAGAAATTCCAATGAACCCCGGGGTGGATCTTAACTTGCAAACAAGTAAGTGACTCGACATCGGTACTAGCATTTAATTCGTATTAATCCCGAGTTAATTACACCCGGAGCATTCGAAACTTTCTTATCTTTCTTATCTCACCGTTGCTCGACTAATCATGAGACGTCGTATGATCTTCCTTCTCAAAATAAATCCGACAGAATCTTCTGATAGAAATCCGGAACAATTTGTACCTTTAATCTGCGACTCTTTCAAATTTAGAACCATCAGCTGCGTCCGCTCTGTATCTAATTAAATGGCCAACACACCAGATGCGCCCCATATCAATCGATAACAACATACATACGTATCCATTCAATTAAGCGATTCTCCCCGTGACGCACCAGGTGCGTCCTCTTGTACATTAATACCTAACCATTAACGAGATTAAATTGCGTCTGAGTACTATAACAGAAGCTGTTATTAACAGAAATTCATTCAACGATCTTAATGTCTATTTATTATAAGGAACACATTTTGTTAAAGTATATTCCTTGAAATCAGAATTGATTTTCATCAAGATAATACATATGTGTACTAATTTATTTTTCCTCGTTTGTTTATTTATTTTTTAACTTCATTTTTAACCTTTTGTAGTCGAAGATAATTTTGTTGTTTACAAACAGCAACTTTAAAATGTTAATTGAAATGTTAAATGAGTTCTTTTCAGGCTGTTATTTCTTCAGTAATAATTTCTACTGTTATCTATTTCACTGTGTTTATACATCACACAAGCACCATTATAAAACTAATTAAATAATGCTTATTTCAAATTATTCTATTAAATCAAATGGTTCCTGAGAGCAACCCCTCGAGCCCAAAAGGTTAATTTCATATTAAGTACATTATTTTTTAGCTTCATTTATAATTTCATATTAAGTACATTACTTTTTAACTTCATTTTTAATTACATATTAAGTACATTATTTTTTAGCTTCATTTTTTATTTCATATTAAGTACATTATTTTTTAACTTCATTTTTAGTTTCATATTAAGTACATTATTTTTTAGCTTCATTCTTAATTTCATATTAAGTACATTATTTTTTAGCTTCATTCTTAATTGCATATTAAGTACATTATTTTTTAACTTCATTTTTAATTGCATATTAAGTACATTACTTTTTAACTTCATTCTTAATTTCATATTAAGTACATTATTTTTTAACTTCATTTTTAATTGCATATTAAGTACATTACTTTTTAACTTCATTTTTAATTTCATAGTAAGTACATTACTTTTTAACTTCATTTTTAATTTCATATTAAGTAAATTATTTTTTAACTTCATTTTGAGTTTCATATTAAGTACATTATTTTTTAGCTTTATTTTTAATTTCACATTAAGTACACATTATTTGTCGGTAGGTTTAGTGTTAAATATCTCGAATCTTCGGAATAAGGCCGCGAACTCGTCCTCTTTTCGAGAGTACACAAGACTCGTAACTTCGTTAGCGCAACCAGGCCATTCTTTGCCGAGGATACGATTAGGAGTCGCGAGGAAACTCGGATAGTTTATAATTCACGTAGCAACTTCGTAACGTAAACAATTAGTCGGATTAAGAGGGGGACGTATCGCACTAACGAATCGATTTCGTATCCGATACCGAATTTCACCCCTTTTTATTCCCTCGCGGAGGAACGAGACTAGAAAAAAAACCGCAAAAGCATCGATAGCGAACGAATTTTGTGAATGAAATATGACGGAACAAATGTTTTTTTACTCCCCGGTGATCTATTTTTAAACATTTATCGGCACAATGAATTGCAAATATTTTTCGGCTGGTATTGAAAGACCCATTGTTACGCTTCTCCCAGTTAGATTGCTTTATTTCGAATTGAGTGGTCTTCGATTTCTATGGAAAGTCATCAACGATATTATGCTTCGGAATATTCGAATTTAACTTCGTTTCTTCGGACATGTGTGGAATAAGTGTTTTGAAGTGGAAATCTTTTGGTGCGATGCCATTTTAGGTCTGAACGATAGTGCTGCCCTCTACGCTGAGGTCTAACATTTTTAAAAATATACGAAGTTGTGAATATCTATCTAGTTGTTAATATATGTTATTAGTATTAATATCTGTTATCAATATTAACTTCTTAAATAATTACTCAACGATTTTACAGAAAATATAAATATAATTTCTAGATGTGCAAAGCTTGAAAGTATTACAAAATGGCGGCCTTCGGTAAGATTGGACCTGCAGACTCCTAAATTATATTATCTAGAAAAATAAGTATTATTTCAGCAAAAATAATGTGATGTTCGAAATCGTAGAAAAAGAAGTACGAGATTGAATGAAATTTTCTCGCGTACCAAACAAATCTTGAAACGAAAAGTGTCTTATTTCAGAAATTATTTGCCGCGGAAACCGCACACTCGCTTCAAAGTCGCGAAGATATTAATCATTTCGTCGGATAAGGACGCGAAGGGAAATAAGGATAAGAGAAAGGACAGACGACGAAAGCTTAATTACGTGTCCATGATAGAGCAAACCAGAAACGAAAATCCCATCTTCCTTTCCCTCTGTCCCGTAACTCGGCTCAAAATGTTTCCTCTGAACCGTCGGGAATAAACGAGCAGTTTCTAGCTGGTTCCTGGACCACGATTATCCAGTCGGCGAAATAAAAAATTTGCGAAAAGGGTAAAGAGAAAAAAATAGAAGAAAGATAGAGAAGGAAAATCGCATCGTTAGAGGGTGGCCGTAACGAGACTCCGGTCCGCGTACAACGCGAAACCTCGGTTTTGAGCGTTCGCCTAACGCAAAGAGGCGGAAGGACACCGGTGAAAAAAAAAAATAATAATAAAAAAAAAATGCCGTTGGAAACCGCGTACGGTTTTGCGTTTAGGCGAGTTCGAAAGCACACGCGTTTTCAACGTGGCGATTAACCGGACGCTGCCGGCTAAGCTGTTGTGAAACGGGTTGCAGTGTCTCCGCGTATAAAAAATATTCGACTCTAACGAGGATAAAAGGAAAACAGAATGACAAACAAAAAGATAATACGACACGCGACATCATTTTTAATATATCGCCATTTTTTTCTGGTATCGCTCTAGTATATTAGGTTCTTGGGGGATGTAGATTCCCTAGGGTCCTCTGCATTTCTAGAGACCGTAGATTTTCTAGGATTTTGGGATTTTTGGGAGATATAAATTTTCTAGGGTTGTTAGGATTTCTAGGAACCGTAGATTCTCTGGAATTTTAGCTATTTTGGGGGATGCAAATTTTCTAGGGTCCTCAGAATTTCTAGGAGCCATAGATTTTTCTAGGATTTTAGGATTTACGGGTCTGTAGATTTTCTAGGGTCCCTAGGATTTCTAGGAAGCATAGATTTTCTAGGATTTTGGGATTTAGGGGTTTGTAGATTTGCTAGAGTCCCTAGGCTTCAGTATTTTAAGCTTCTGAGGTCTGTAAATTCCTTAGGGTTTTCTAGATTTTTAGGAATTATAGATTTTCTAGGATTTTAGGATTTAGGGGTCTGTTGATTTTCTAGGGTCCCTAGGATTTCTAGGAAGCATAGATTTTCTAGGATTTTGGGATTTAGGGGTTTGTAGATTTGCTAGAGTCCCTAGGCTTCAGTATTTTAAGCTTCTGAGGTCTGTAAATTCCTTAGGGTTTTCTAGATTTTTAGGAATTATAGATTTTCTAGGATTTTAGGATTTAGGGGTCTGTTGATTTTCTAGGGTCCCTAGGATTTCTAGGAAGCATAGATTTTCTAGGATTTTGGGATTTAGGGGTTTGTAGATTTGCTAGAGTCCCTAGGCTTCAGTATTTTAAGCTTCTGAGGTCTGTAAATTCCTTAGGGTTTTCTAGATTTTTAGGAATTATAGATTTTCTAGGATTTTAGGATTTAGGGGTCTGTTGATTTTCTAGGGTCCCTAGGATTTCTAGGAAGCATAGATTTTCTAGGATTTTGGGATTTAGGGGTTTGTAGATTTGCTAGAGTCCCTAGGCTTCAGTATTTTAAGCTTCTGAGGTCTGTAAATTCCTTAGGGTTTTCTAGATTTTTAGGAATTATAGATTTTCTAGGATTTTAGGATTTAGGGGTCTGTTGATTTTCTAGGGTCCCTAGGATTTCTAGGAAGCATAGATTTTCTAGGATTTTGGGATTTAGGGGTTTGTAGATTTGCTAGAGTCCCTAGGCTTCAGTATTTTAAGCTTCTGAGGTCTGTAAATTCCTTAGGGTTTTCTAGATTTTTAGGAATTATAGATTTTCTAGGATTTTAGGATTTAGGGGTCTGTTGATTTTCTAGGGTCCCTAGGATTTCTAGGAAGCATAGATTTTCTAGGATTTTGGGATTTAGGGGTTTGTAGATTTGCTAGAGTCCCTAGGCTTCAGTATTTTAAGCTTCTGAGGTCTGTAAATTCCTTAGGGTTTTCTAGATTTTTAGGAATTATAGATTTTCTAGGATTTTAGGATTTAGGGGTCTGTTGATTTTCTAGGGTCCCTAGGATTTCTAGGAAGCATAGATTTTCTAGGATTTTGGGATTTAGGGGTTTGTAGATTTGCTAGAGTCCCTAGGCTTCAGTATTTTAAGCTTCTGAGGTCTGTAAATTCCTTAGGGTTTTCTAGATTTTTAGGAACTATAGATTTTCTAGGATTTTAGGATTTAGGGATCTGTAGATTTTCTAGGATCCCTAGGATTTCTAGGAAGCATAGATTTTCTAGGATTTTGGGATTTAGGGGTCTGTAGATTTTCTAGAGTCCCTAGGCTCCAGTATTTTAGGTTTCTGAGGTCTGTAAATTCCCTAGGGTTTTCTAGATTTTTAGGAACTATAGATTTTCCAGGATTTTAGGATTTAGGGGTCTGTAGATTTTCTAGGATCCCTAGGATTATTAGGAACCATAGATTCTTTAGGATTTTGGATTTCTGAGATATTTAGATTTTCTAGAGTCGTTAGGATTTCCAGGATCTATAGATTCTCTAGGATCCTAAGTTTCTGGGATCTGTAGATTTTCTAGAGATCCCTACGATTTCACGAAACCATAGATTCGCCAGAAT